AGTTTGATAAGTGAAGTAATTAGATAGCGTTACATAAATAAATAAATAGAAATATTTTTCATTATACAAGACATATAGCGCATGTTTGGTAGAATTTAAAATCCAAATTTTAATTTAAGTCAAAATCAATAACTAAAGACATATAGCCCATGTTTGGTAGAATTTAAAATCCAAATTTTAATTTAAGTCAAAATCAATAACTAATTTTAACCACACATTTTATAGGATTCCGAACTTTTCAATCATATAATTTATTAACTTTTATTAAAATATATTAAAAATTCGATTTTAATCTTTACCAAATAGGGGGATAGTTAGTTGTTTATAATTGTATTATAGTGGATGGACAAGAAGGAATATGAGTAATGCTAAACCCCCTCACCCCCAACCTATGCGTGGGGTTTGGTGGGGGGCTGACAGCCCCGTTCCTTTTGCATAACCCAAGTATTATATAAATTTATAAACTGTCATTCCATACATCATTATTAGCCTATGGGACAAGCAAAATAGTCAAATGGGATAATAGAAAATTTGTAAGAATAAAGGCTGTAATCACTTGACAATAAAAGTCAACGAGAAATTCATTTTTGACAAAAACTTAAAGGAGTTTCGTTTTTCTATTTTTTTTTTAATATAAAAATCACGTTATTGCAATTTAAATTGTTTACGAGTGCTTTGTCCATCCTACCATCATCCCATACATGGCCATTGTCTCCCCCATGCTCTACAGGAAACTGATGGAGGAAAAGGCTACCTATTATTGTGTCAACCACTCAACAAAAGCCAAAAAAAAAGAAAAAAAAAAGAAAAAAGAACACAATAGAGAAGAATATGCGGTATCAACTCATTGATTTCACCAAAAAATAAGAATTAATAAGTTAAAAATCAAAATAAATAATTCTTTATGCATTTCAAATATTTTTCTTTTCTCGATCGATCAATCCAATAAGAATGCATCAAAACGTAAAATATAACATAATATCATAAATTTTTATACAACGAAGGACGAGTCAAAGCTTTAATCGTATCCCCGTTAAAGAATGGACAGCATATTCCATGTAAGAGTTGATTGATCCCAATGCTTTTAGCATTTTGGGCATAATATGCAACCACCACTCATTTTCACCCATGTTTGGCTTAGCATGAAATATGCCCGTCTTGACATCATGATTTCCACCCAAGAATAAGTCACATTCCAATTTTATACTTTTTTTACATAAATAATCAATTATTTTTGTCGAGAAGACCTTTCTTTTTTTAAAATAATTCTGTCCACAATACAGTCTTAATCACGACATCATTAAGATCAAAGTGCCATATTAATCTTAACCAACATCCTTTTCGGTTTATTCGATCACGGCGTTAAGTACAATGCCTATTTCTTTGAAAATACAATGTTTTTCTTAGTTTAGTTTTTGTCTTCTCACTAGCCCTAAGAAAAACATAAGAATTTACTGTTCGTCTAACCTTAAGGTAGTGTTTGATTGCTCCACTTTTTCCATCAAACTTTTGATTGTTTGATTGTCCAAAATTTTTTCATGGAATTGAAATTCTCACCTTCTTGCCACGTCAGCATTTTCCATGAAAATCATGGAATTGGAATTCTCACCAAAATGGTGAGAAATGGAATTTCCGGTTATTGTATCAATTTTTTAATTTTTTTTTCTATTTTTTGCCAATGGAAATAAATTTTAAGAATTATTGTAAAAAAATATTTTTCTTTTATCGATAATTTCCATGTAAAACAAAGTCAAACGAACACCAAAAGATAGATGGTTTTCTTGATTTTTTTTGTTGGCAATGGAACAAATTGCATACCCAATATCAGTAAATTTTATCTTTTTAATTGGCATTTCATGTAAAATAAAGCCAAACGAACATCTAAAAATACTTTTATTTCAACATTTTTCAAGTGAAAAAGTATACCAATCAAACATAATAATTTACAATTTTCAGGAAAACAAATTCTAGGAAATTCAATTTCCTGAAATTCATTTTCAATTCAATTCAATTCAATTTCATCTTTGTAATCAAATGTACCCTAATTCTTATTAAAATAAACAAACTAATTATATTTTCTATAAATGTAAAATTGACTGATGAAATCTTATTTTGTCGCCCATTCAATTTAATGCTATATTTAGTATTTACCAAATAATATAACAATAACCATAATTTTCAGGGTAAACATTTAAAACTAAGGACAACAACCTTTTCTAAAAACTGTCAAAATTTTATAAATAAAATGAAAATTAGGGTAATTTAAGTTTAGTATTTTCCCACTTTAGTCTTCTAGGTTAAGGTTCACTTTTCTTTATAGGTTAATAACAACATTGATAGGGAGAATATGATTAAAAATGCGTTTACATTGAAGTAATTTTGAATGTCAATCAACCAATGGTTATATCTTAAACTTTTTGTTTCATTGGAAACCTAAATTAGTTGTTAAGGTATACTGCGACCAGTATTCTAAAAGGCAATGCGACGATACGTAGAGGTCAAACTAAGGGCTAAGCGATGCATAGGTGTAAAAAAGCGTTTTCTTATTTTAATATTACTTTAATTTTTAATCGACTAAAAAATCATTTAATAATTCAAAATAATACGTATCAAACATCTAAAACAGATTTATAGGAACTTTATACCTTTTTTCAAAGTTTCCAACAAAAAAATAAAAAAAAGTTTCCCATGTAAATATTAAATAGTAAATAAATAGAAATTTTTGGGAGTTTTCCTTTTTTAATGTTTCAAGCGGCTACTTTGAATCTAATGATGAAATTAGTCTTTTAAGTTCTAACTTTAAAGAATAAAAATAAAATTAAAAAAGATAATAATGCCTGCATTAGAGGTCAATGATTGCCGTTGACTGCTAAATAAGGCACTAAGCCACATGGCTTGACGTTTCTGTCGCGCATCACACCTGGAGTTGCTAGGTGTGTCTTTTAGAACATTGACGATGTCTTTAACCTATGTTATTTGGTGATGAGATTCAGCGTGTATGCTTACAAATCGATGAGATTCAGCGTGTCAGACTAAATCATAATTGGAAAATACTGTTTGTATACGTTGTGGTGTACACACAGCTTTACACCTCCCTCACATGGAGGGGGCGCACGAATATTTTATTACATGTAAGCCTCCCTCCATGTGAGGGGTGTAAACCTGTGTATTAAGCCTGTATATACACCATTTGTAAGCATATAGCACAACCCATCATAATTTTATACATACTTTGAGATTTAAACGGTTTAAATCAAGTAGATAACGTAATTCAACCATTTTTCGAAGATTATATAAATGAGTTTTATAAAATAGAGAGGGCTACATAATTTTGTGTGATTGAAAACATACCTTTTAGCCCCCGTTTAGCCCTCATTAAATTACATTTCATTACATTCTTTTTTTCTTTCTCATATTTTTAATCACACAATCTTCCATGAATGTTATACGTAAATCGAAAATTTTTCTTTCATTTTCAACCTCTCATTTTCAAGAAAAAGACTATTCCTCTCATTTTCATTATCGAAAAATGGGGGTCAAACTGGGGCTTAATGTTTGAAGATGATGTCCACTAAATGATTATTGAACCTATCACATCATGGTTTCGAGTATGGAGTCGTTAAAAGGATACATGTTTACAAAATTTTATATAATGTAAATAGTATGTTAAGATAATGTGAATAAGTCAATTAAAAATAAGTTAGAAAAACGCCGTGTAGCATTACAGGTACTTTGTGCTCGTGCATAACATCAAGATCATTGTTATTATTGAACGAACGAAAATAAATTCCGATTTTCAATTTGCATGAAATATTATTTTATTGAATATTGTATGATTGAAAGTATGAGAAAAAAAAAAATTTAAATTAAATTGATGAGTTTTAAAAAGAGCCTAATAGAGCTAAATTTCGGCAAAAAATTTTTTGGGTACTTTCTTAGTACGAATAGATATCTGCATACTTGCCCCCCGGGGCACATCCAAGTTGGCGGAACATTCACATTGAGGAGCTCTAGAACCAAGCGTGGGGAGTTCGATTCTTGGAAGGCACAATTTGAAAGGCAAGATTTATCTTGGAAGGCAAGTTGTGGAAGGCAGTGAAGAGGCTCTCTTTGGGAAAGGAGTAAAAGCCGTGTGGGAACCAACAAGGGCACATCCCGCGATTTACGTCCCTGAGCTGCTGAGAGGCCGGTGGTTCAGGGACGAGGATATAGTCTGGCGCAAGCTGGGACACCTCGTTTAAAAAAAAACAGTACTTCTTATGGCTTCACTAAGAGTCCGATGTTCATTTGTCGGTCTGTATAATGCCAAACTATTCATGTACACTTCCTCAACCCAAACCTTCCAACAGTCTCGTCCAACTGGTAAGTGATGAACCTTTGCAAATGGATCTGTTGTTGCAATCTTCCTTTCCGCAACAACTTCTTCTTCCTCCAGTGGATGCGTTTGTGCACACCACAAATAATCGTTATGTCAGCCTGTACACACCACTCCCTCAAACCAACTTTCAAATTTCCACTTATATAAGAACCCGTTCTCCAAAAATCCATCTTCTTCAAGAACACCCATACAGATTGATCCTCATCCTTGCTTAATATTGTTCGTCAAAAGTCAAAAAGGGTTTATAATCGTTTGTGCAAATCAGGAGAAGAAGAATGGTAGTGAAGATGATTAAGTGGAGGCCATGGCCTTCCATTTCATCCAAGAAAGTTGAGGCCCAGATCACCATTCATCAAATTAAGGGCCTACTCATATCTTCAGAACTCCAAGATTCTGCGAGATTTGCGGTTGAGATAAAATGGAAAGGGTCAAAGGCCAATGCTTTGAGGACTTTAAGGAGGAGTATAAGAAGGAATTTCACAAAGGAGGAGACTTTAAGAGAGCTCTTACTTAATTGGCTAGTCATTTATTGCTGAGAAGATCATGATAATAATAAATAGTAAGAGCATATCTTGTTTTTGGGAAAAATGAAGTAAATTCTTAAATTTTCTTGCATTTTGTTTAGTTTTGACCTTTTTGGAGGGAAGACGTTTGATCCCTTTAGCCCATAAGTTATTGCTTGGTGATTGTTTTGGTAAACTTTGGAATTAATAGGATGATTTCTAGGGATTGTTATAGAACTTGTTGAGTTACTATTTCAGGATCATCTTCTTGCAGTCTCCTTGAATTTTGTTTTACAGTCTTGTTCGTAGCTGGAATATAGAATGAATTTATGGCATGTTTGATTGGGTAGATTGGATATTGCTTGACAATATTAAAGAAGAAAAAGAAAAAATCTTGTCAACCATATCTTCCACTTTGTCAAGTACTGCTTACAAAACACACACTTATCGTAGGTTTTCGATCTTGTGTTTGACAATTCCTTTGGGAGATTGGTCCTACCCATGTTTCAGCTTGTGGGCTTAATTTATTTTGTTTTTTAAGAACGAAATAACTGTTATATTCTATTACAGAATTTGGTCAATTTTGTTTATCAGGACTGTTATGGCATATACCCTTGCTTTTGTGATTATTTATCATCGATAACAGGGAGAATAGGTTGAACTAGTCAGCTTCATAAACTATGTGCATATGCTGATGTTACATCTTTTTGAAGATCAGAAAACTGATTTGTTGTTGTAAATCAGGGCTTGAAGCTCGGATCAAATGGCAAGATTCCTATCATCGCTACTGGAATGTTGAACCTTGCAGACTTTATGTCTCATGTAGAAAATCAAGACAGAGAAGTCACAATTCCCATGGATATGCCCGGTGCCAACATTCATAATAGGCCTTCACTTTGTGTAAGCACCCTCTCCATGGGTATCTTACATATATGAGTTAGTCTATTCCTTTTCCTTCAGAGCATATTTGGTATGCAATATTAACCAGAACTAAACTATAGAATATACAAAATTTAACCTCGTTTTCTTTCTTGATAGTTGTCCACTACTGCACAGTCAGTGAAAAAAGCCATCAATGTTTTGTGTACCTTTTTTGTTCTGTTTGATCCTATGAATGTTTTACCGAGACTTAAGTTCATTTGCAGCTGTCTATCTTCCTAATAGAATTGAGAAATGCTGAGGAACCTTCAGGAATGATGCTGAGACCAGTTCTTTCTTTTCCTCTGTCGCCCTGTTACGGAGACATTTCCCCAACGGAAAAAGAAGAGAACTCTGTTTTTAAAGCCAGTCTGAAAAGAGTGAATATTTTTAGGGGTTTATCTAGCAGAAGGGCTAAAAAGACTGGTAATGAAGAGGAAGGAAGTGATGAAAGGAGCTCGGTCAGAAGCGATGAAATTTACCCACTTGATACAGACTCACTTGATGACTCGGAAGAAGGGGACTCCGAGGAAGGGAAGGAGGATTCCAGTGGTCGGAAGTCATTCAGTTATGGAACATTGGCCTATGCAAACTGTGCTGGGACAACAAGTTACACGAATTCTAGTGGTAGTGAAGACGAGGACTGGGTCTACTATAGCCACAGGAAATTGGATGTAGGGAAAATGTCTGAGCAGTCCATCCTGCAGAATTCAAAACGTAGAGTCCTTCCCTGGAGGAAGAGGAAACTAAGCTTCAGATCTCCGAAAGTTAAAGGAGAACCATTATTGAAAAAACATTATGGGGAGGAAGGTGGAGATGATATTGATTTTGATCGCAGACAACTAAGTTCTTCAGATGAATCCACTTTTGGGGTATGCTTCTCGTGGCATTCTTTTATTCCTTCATTACAACATATCATGATAAATGCTGGACTTCAGTTGTTTATATTTACATACCATTTCACTTTTTTTTGATGAGAAGCTTCTGACAGTGTCTATCTATCTGACCACACCAGAAAATCGAAGAAGATTCAGTTGCTAATATGCTATCAGCATGCCCATTTGGAGATGAAAATTTCGCTGTCGGTAACTGGGAGCAGATGGAGATAATCAGTCGCGACGGATATATGAAGTTACAAACACAAGTTTTCTTTGCTTCGATTGATCAAAGGAGTGAGAGAGCAGCAGGTGAAAGTGCATGTACAGCCCTTGTAGCCGTGATTGCTGACTGGTTACAATCAAATGCTGATGAAATGCCGATCAAGTCCCAACTCGACAGCCTGATCCGTGAAGGTTCGTTAGAGTGGAGGAATCTCTGTGAAAACAAAATCTATCAGGAGAGGTTCCCAGACAAGCATTTTGACCTAGATACGGTACTCCAGGCTAAAGTTCGTCCAATTTCTGTTGCACCAGAGAAGTCTTTCATAGGCTTCTTCCATCCAGAAGGACTAGAAAATGAAGATTTTGATTTCCTCAATGGTGCCATGTCTTTTGATAACATTTGGGATGAGATTTGTCGAACTGCCATGGATTGTTCTCCGACTGGTGACCAGTTGATCTATATTATCAGCTGGAATGACCACTTTTTCATCTTAAAGGTTGAACAAGATGCATATTATATTATCGACACATTGGGCGAGAGGCTTTATGAGGGCTGCGGTCAAGCGTTCATCTTGAAATTCGATAGAGATACAACCATTCATCAACTTGCTAACATCGAGGCTAACAAGTCAGACAATAAACCTGTTACGGATGAGCAAAGTAAAGTCAAGGAAGGCACTAGCAAAGGGCAAATGGTTATAAGCAGCACTAATGTGCAAGGAAATTACGAAAATGAACAGAAGATAGTCTGCACAGGAAAAGAGTCGTGCAAAGAGTACATTAAGAGCTTTTTGGCTGCAATTCCTTTGAGGGAATTGCAAGTTGATCTGAAAAAGGGATTGATGGCATCGACTCCCCTTCATCATCGGCTACAAATAGAGTTTCATTACACGAGACACTTGCAACCCGTGATGGAGCCTTCTGCTGCAGAAGCAATCACTGATATACCAGAATTACAACCCTTGGAAGTACCTGATGAATTAGAGTCTTAATCCCTTTTGTTATTTTTGTATTGTGTTTCCTTATACAAGGGTAAGAATGAAACCTTGTTTTGAGGTTTTTTAGACCATGTCTTGCATAGCAATTTCTTCTTCCCTTTTATTGTTACACAAATGAAAAAATTTCATGTGTGTAAATGAGATTAGTAAAAGATTATCCCCCTTCGTTTTGCTGATTTAACACCAAAGCTGCTGCTCTTTGGTATTACATAGAAGCATAATTCTTATCTGGGTATAGCCTAGTCCGGCCATTGTCATTGTACTTAATCAAGAAACTTTAGGAGTGAGTTTGTTATGCATTATCACAATGACATTTCGTGAATTATTGTAATTTTTTTCTTCCTTAAAAGCTTCCACCTTACCAAGCAAGTTACAAGTTTTACAAAATCGAAGTTTGTCATTCACCATAGATAAAATTGTAGAGGAACCCTCACTCTTCCCGCTCTCAAATAATAGATATAGGTCAAATTATTGTAAGCACTATGAAAGAGACAAGTCTTGATGTACATGTAGCAATGTCTTTTTAAAATAAGAATGTTGCCATTTGTACATAAAAATATTATATAAGTGGTTATCAAAAAAGATGTGGACGAAAAATATTAAATGGAAAAGTTAATCGCGTTTTAAACTAAAGTGACATATGGACATTATGTAATCCCTTATGTAAGCATTGATATACATGTGTCATGGTCCTTTAAATGATAATAATCATAATAATATGGTGAGCATATATCTACGATCAGAACCCGAGTTGAGCTTAGATAGGGTGAGCCACTTTTCGACTTGGTTCACCCCACTAGCAAAGTCGAGCAACAAGTTATTCATACGAGCCGTTTGACAACTCGATGCCTGCAGGTTCACCTAGGTAACCAGTTTGCAATTTTATTATCTTTCTGATATATCGCTCTCTACTCTTTATAATTCTACAAATATCACTTTCCTAATTTTGTAAGTATCACTCAATTTCGTAATTCGTTTGGAATTGTTATTTCACTCTCCTAATTTCACAATATCTGTAGCGGAAATCCTTCGATAAATCTTGATTCCGGACTCAGAAAACAATCAAACGAACACCAATTTACCTTGACTCGACCCAAGACTTTTACCTTCACTTTGGACTGCTCTCTTTCTCTCTAACCCCACAAAGGAGAATGGTGGTGGTGTTAGCAATCCTCAAAGGTATGGAAAGGAAGAAGAACAGTGGTTGAATCTTACTCACAACCTCACATAGCTTTCCTTTCTATCGGTTGCCTCTCTTCTCTCAACTCTCTTCTCCGTTGCTACAACACACATACACCACAAAACGGCTGGGAGATAAATACATATATATATGTTAGCTTAGGTCACTCTAATTGGGCCTAGGGTTCACTAAGCGGGCTACCAATTAACCTAAACTAATGGGCTAAAATTCAACTCCATATTAATCACTAAATGGTCCAACTAACCAAATAATCATCCAACCCAAACCCGAACCATCCAAAAGTATAGTTCATCTCCGAGTCGAGCTAAGTCCATGGTATCGATAAATAATTCGACAACTGTTTTAAATCATCGCCCGGATTATTGGGTATCAAAAAACCCAACAATAGCTAATTCCATTCTGCTGCTTGTGTTATTACACGTAATCTACGTAATTGCTAGCTTATCATTATCTCCTCGGAATAACAATGTTTTATTCAGTTTCTTGCCAAATTTTCAGAGACTGACGAGAATGTTAGTTGTGTAACAACATCCGGTAAGATTAAGAAGAACTAATGTTATTCTTCCAAAATTTGATAAATAATATATTTAGTGTATAATTATTGTGTTAAGTATTTATAGGGACGTCAATATCTGGATTTCTCTATTATAGTCTGAAACTTGTTCATAGCACCTGCGATTTTATTAGTACTTACAGATATATAGTCTATGTTGATAAGTACATTTACCTGCTTATTCAAATTTATAAAATTGATATATAGTTACAAATTGAACAAACTTCTATTAAATTTATTGGAAATGTTGTGATTATAAATATAACTCAAATTTGGAGGTACTTGGATCGAAAAGCAAGTTTCAAGCTCAATTAGAGTTGGTTTGAAGCAGTTGAAGCCCAATTTGATGGCACATGGTGGATATGAAGCATTAAGAGAGCAACTGCATAAAATTCACAAGTTTCGAGAATGAAATTTGACTGATGAAAAGTTGATAAATGATTTGCACACTTCAAAACTTAAGGAAAACCAATCATTGATGATTATAGAGAGTCGAGGACAAACATGGAAGTTTGAGCAATGTTGGGTGTACAGGGGTTCTGTTTGACGCAAACAGAACCCCTACCAACAGTCACAAAAAATGGTTCCCACACGGGACCCGTTTGCATTTAAAAAAAAAATAAAAAAATCAATCCACCCACCCCGTGTATGTGAGTGATCGGCACAGGTTCTATAAACCCGTACTTGTACGTGTATCATCACTCTGGAAGTTTATGGGAGTTACGTGAGCAATATTGAAGATTGAACCAAAAAGGACCCAAAACGTACAAGAAACCTTGAAGGGGGACCAAAATGCAAAAAGAGAGTGGTGTAATCACGGTCACTGGAGAATGGCTATTTGGCGCGATTCGACTATGATTTGCAAACTGGAATCGACCAGCAGCCCATCCATGGAATGTGTTTTTTGGCTTTTTTTTATCTGGGGGTAATTTGGTCATTTTGTGCACTTAGTTTTCAAGGCGATTTAGGGACTATATGATGATCGAATTTGATCAAATAAATGGGAGTATATATTACAAGCAACAGGAGATGTACAAGAAAATATAAAATCAATGCAAGGGTTTTCAAGATTTTGGCACAGAGAAGGCGGATTCTTAGTGGAAGATTTTCATCTTTTTCTTATTTTCCCCTAAATCCGGTGATGTATTTCAATACATTTTTATGTTTTCTTCCTTCATTATGTCTAACTAGAGACTAAACCAATACTTGGAGCGAGCGATATAACCTAGATTTGAACATTTTATTTTAATTTGCAAGGTTTGCATTGTTATTTTATTTATTTATATATATTTTTCTCTTTTCTTAATGCATGAATTATTTAATCACCAATTCATGATTTGTGAATTGTAACATATCCAGAGGTTTATTATGACTTTAGACCATGTAGCAAATTTCAGCAATTGGATAAAAGGTGGAGATACATTTTTACTATTGTTGTCGTCTTTTATTGAATTCCTAGGTGATTTATTCATATTTACATACAGCTATAGTAAGTTAACTCAATTAGATACGATTGATTTGAACTTGCAAGAGGTAAATTAATTTAATTAGAATGTGTTTGATTGCTAATATTTGCCATGAAAAATGTATTTTTCTACCAAAATTCCTGCTATGTACTGTTCAATTGATATTCTTTCTATGGAAAATATTTTCCTATCTTTGGTCATGTGACCATATTTTTCTCAAAATTAAGGAAAATATTTTCTTTAGGGAGAATATGGTTTTATTTTCCAATAAATTCACTCTCTTTCTCATCCACCTAACAATAAAAAAGGGACAAGTATAATATTTTCTATGTTGAAAATTAAATCAATCAAACACATTTTTAGTGAATCCGATTAATTACAACTATAGGAATTGAACTCCAGATGTAAGATTAAATTGATAAGTATGGTGAAATTGTAAATTACAACGTTTTAATCATCATATTTAATAGGTTTATCCATAATCTAAACAAAATACATTCTTGTAATTTCTTTTACTTATCTAACATTAGTTTTAAATAAAAACTTTTCCTGAAATTTTGTTTTCGTTAAATAAGAGATAAGGTTATTGATATTAGGATAAAATAGTCTCCTTGGAATGACACCTTAGGTCCATTTTTCTACTCGTTTAGTTAACATTATATACTTGCAAGTTTACTCCAACATCTATCATGGGAGACGATATGTTAGATTGAGATATATCATGTAACCTTGGCAATATTACTCGAATAGAAACACATGTTTGAATGCACCAATGACTGCAAGAAGATGATTGTGGCTTTCAACATCTTTTCAGATTTACAGTTACATACTACTAAGGTAGAATTGTTATTATATTGTATTTATTTCACCATCTTATTTTTAAAAAAAATTACATGTAATATTCTTTTGTATATAATTTTAATTTCGCCTACGTAATGTAGTCAGTCTCAAGTCGGATAAAAGATGAAGTTTTTACAACTTTATAATGGTTTTAACGAAGTATAATTTTTTACATTTACCTATTTCTCACAATTAGATAATTATTTTGATGAAATATAATTCCTTTATGCCTTCATTATACTTCGGGGAGTGATGTGCAATTTTCAGTTTGAATACCCAAATAAATAAATAAAATAAAAATTAAAAATAAGATGGGCTCACAAGTAGGGGCAAACTTATGTGGCAAGTCGAGCCCACCTTGGTTCAATGAGCTAGCTCTCGATCAGGTCACTACCTCACACATGAGCATGAGCCAACTCACGTGATGGATCGAGCCATGCTTATCACTGAACCGACTTGACTCAATCCATTTAACGTCCTTAGTTGAACTTCTAATGGTCAATTGTGCATAATACAACAGAAAGCTCTCTCTTTTACTTCTCTTTGTACAATCATTTTTTTATGTTGAAATCACCGACTTTTATACCTACAATTCCTGACTCTCATTATGCTCAATAAAGTAATTACTGAAATCTAGTCCATTATATTGTTCAATTTGTTCACGTATCAAATACATACACACCAATTTTTTGAATCCCACGTACCACATTCCATGTTAACTATATATTGGCTAGATGTCCCTCATAAAGTTCTAGGGGCGGGACGGTAGGAGGCCTTAAGGTTGGGGTTCAACCTTTATATATTGGCGAGATGTGCTAAGCCTCTACCGAGGGCCCACCAATCTTTACAATTCAACACAAGGCAAGAATCAATCAATAGGACAACATGGAAGACATCACACAGCCCTCGGGACATATCTCCCAGTGGCAAAGGGGAGGGCGGATAGGGCTCAGCGCGGCAGTGTGCAGAGTTCGATTCCCCGCAAGGTGGAANACAACAGAAAGCTCTCTCTTTTACTTCTCTTTGTACAATCATTTTTTTATGTTGAAATCACCGACTTTTATACCTACAATTCCCGACTCTCATTATGCTCAATAAAGTAATTACTGAAATCTAGTCCATTATATTGTTCAATTTGTTCACGTATCAAATACATACACACCAATTTTTTGAATCCCACGTACTACATTCCATGTTAACTATATATTGGCTAGATGTCCCTCATAAAGTTCTAGGGGCGGGACGGTAGGAGGCCTTAAGGTTGGGGTTCAACCTTTATATATTGGCGAGATGTGCTAAGCCTCTACCGAGGGCCCACCAGGCTTTACAATTCAACACAAGGCAAGAATCAATCAATAGGACAACATGGAAGACATCACACAGCCCTCAGGACATATCTCCCAGTGGCAAATGGGAGGGCGGATAGGGCTCAGCGCGGCAGTGTGCAGAGTTCGATTCCCCGCAAGGTAGAATTGACTTTGTTACAAGCGGGAGTTACCATATGGGTTAACAGTTTTGGCCTATCCATATGCTCTCCACCCTGGTTCCTGGGAGGCACATCCTGCGATTTACCTCCTCCACGATGGCCCAGGGCAGGGTCGGTGGGGGCTCTTAAGTTGGGGTTCAACCTTTTTTTGGAAGACATCACACAGAACAATACGCAATCAAATCAGACCCATACTCAACACTATAACCAATAAAGAATGTATTCAAACGTGCCAAATGATTTTAAAACTTAGAGAACAAAATAAGCACCCCAAGTGTTTATGCATTAGCTGTACCATACATTAAATTATGTCCAATCCTAAAATCGATAGGGTGAAGAGACAGTAGAGAAGATGACAGGTTAAGAGGACCTCAAAAAACCGACAACTCAATGAAGCAAACTTGATGAGCTCTGATTCTTCATCAAATGATCAGGCCGAGCTCCTCTTAGATATTTTATTTTGGAAATAAGAGATGGGATCCAATGAATTTATCTCGCCAAAGAACTTTAGTCTTCCGACCAGTGCTGTACTCCATTCTTCAATCAATTCACATTGAACAAAGCTGAGAAGCAAGCTTGACAACTCCCCACATGGATGCGTCGTTCTGTACACAAATATGTTAGAAATTCTAACATTGTCATTGATTGTAACCTATATGACACTGAGAAGCAGAAGAGATCTTTAACTTTTTGATGTCTGTTAGAAAAGCAAAGATAATCTTTTTCTTGGGACTAGACAAGAAGAGATGCCGCAAAATATTGTGCTCAAATATTTTAATATACGAACTCGGACTTCCAGCAATGAGATTTGCATCATTTTTTTTCCTTTTCCAGGATAAGCAGCGTTTTTTTAATCCTTTTTTGGTTCCAAAAAAGTATAAAAACAGATGAACACAGGTATCAAGATTCTAGCTTTAGTGAATGAAATGTCATGCGACAACTTTAATGGCTCAACAATTCATTTATCGATGGTACAAACATGACAGCCTTACTATCAGTTCATGAACATTGTTTCAGAGAGAGATTGAAAAACACGTGTTTATCTGAAGCTATGTACTCACCATATACACAACATCGAAGGATTTTTGGTAGCTATCCCGAGAAGTTTCAATGTTATCATTCCTGCAACAAGTATCCAACAAGGTTAAGTAACTACAAATATACCACTAATCATCAAGAATGACAGAACTTCTGAATACTAAAATGATAAATTAAAGATAAAAATTTCTAACACCTGGATATACTGACTCAATATGTTTACAGGAGACAATATCTTCTGATTATGCCTAGACAAACTCGTATTCTAACAGATTCCACTTTTTAACCATGCATCAAACGTTTACACTGATTTATAAATAGGCCAACAGTCAAACGTGCTTGTCTGCCTGTGTAGTCGAGGACCATTTTGTTTTAACTTTTGGTGTTCAAGGATACAGGACGTTCTCCCACACCCATCAGGTCTCAGACAGAGACTGAGAGCTTTGTAGGGGATATTTTAAAATTTTAATAGTTCACATTTAACATCAGCAATGTGCTTGATTACAAATTTAGAGATTTAGCTGAACAAAAAAATAGTATGATGGTTTTAAAAAGATATTCATCAATCATCAGCTTAATACTTGGGTTTTGAGAATTTACCTCCAAAACAGGATACATTCTTCATGACAAAATTTTGATACTTTCAGCAAAATAGTCGAGGATTCTAAATAAATTTAAAATAAAAAATAAAAAATCTAGTAATAGAGGACAATAAAATGGATGTTGGCTGCCTAAAAGTACAAAAGAGAAAGAAAGAACTGACCTTATGGTCAGTTTCTGCCAAATTAGCAAACTGAAACCCATTCAAATTGCAGTATCGTGTCAAATTTTATTGTAGATTCACAATCGCAAGGCCACTTCAAACACTAAGTCAATGTTGCTGATTTAATTGTTTATAAATAAATTGAGGAATTACTGGCCCAAAAGAAAGATGTGTGCACAACTTAAATTGACAAAATGTTCTTTTTAACAACTTTTAAAACAAGATGAAAGTGTATGAAGATTTAGTCATTGGTGACTGCTAACATTTTCCCATTTTATCCAAAATAAAACACATTTTAATTCTCTTAAGAAATGAAAAATCAAAATTCTGACGACCATACCAACTGCATGCTAAGACGACAGGTTCACTGTAGTAGTATAACTGAGAACATAAACTCCCAGGCATTGCTTTCTTGGATTTAAAGGGAGAAACTGTTACTCACAAGAATCCCACAGAAATTCGTGTTTTGTAATTTAGACCATCAGACATTCCAAGATCTCCAATGTGATCACCTAGGAGTAACACATTAGTTCTCATTTTCACCGAGGAGGGATCATCAGCCAATCCATTGACATCACCCAGTTGATCATGAACAGGTGCAGCCATATCAATTGAATGCTCATTCTTATTCAGGACATGGATAGTCTTCCCTGTAGAAAAAACAGACATTGGTTAATATTTTCTACAGAGGGAAATTGGATCTGCAATCAGCCTTAGCGAAGGGTGCTTTCTCAATGACTAAGTAATTGTTGGAGTGAAATCACCATATTATTTGAAAATCACTTCCAGTCAGGTTGATTAGAGAACACGCTCATAGTAGCACAATGATTAGTTGATACCCCCTTATAAAAAGTAAAAGATACCTTTAAACGATAATAGATGGTCATTCTGGTCAAAAACCATCCGGTTAGATACAATTTTAACATTCTTAAAAGACCTATGAAGTTTCTGCCTCAGCACCTGGTAGAAGAGGTGTCACACAAAAGTGGCAATTAGATTTTTTCGTAAGATTAAACATCTATAAGAATCAAATAAGACCATCAAAGTTCCAAAGGCTTGCCTCTTCTATTATATCTGCAAGGCCAGCAGAAAATATGAGGACAGGGACATTGCTCTTCTGCAAGTAATTAGAGAAAAAATGTAAACTGGGTCCCTTTTTAAAATTCCAGTGGTATTTTATATTACAACCCACCTAATTTGCATTTTTCTTCAATATAGTCCCATAGCACTCATTCTAACATGTAAACGAGAAGCCCCAGAGTGTAAATAATGTTTACCTCCAAAAGTTCAAAAAGTTCAATGACTCCATCCCTGAATGCAATCCTGGAGTTAGCCACGGAAGTCTTTATAGCACCATATGTGAGTCCTCCCTCAATAAGGAGACCATGTGTTTTCTCCCACCTGTGTATATAGAATCAAACACTTACAGCTATTTGAGAGCCAACCACAATTTGTTTAGAGAAACCTAAAATCCAATAGAAATATTTATAACAGCCGACAGACCCAAAAATAAGGGACAAACTGTCAAGATTAAGAACTAATTCTTTAATTGGAGCTAAGACAGAATAATCTTGGTCATCTTATAGGTAGAATAGCCAGCATCCGTTACTAAATGGTTAAATCACATACCACTCTTCCATGAGTTTGGCTTTCTCATAAATAGGAATTGTTGGGTCAATTTCTAATGGATGATAATATTCGTATAATTTCTGCCTCTTGACATCATACTCTGGATTCCCCTGTTGCAAAAGGCCATGACTACCTACATATTTTTATTTTAATAAAAGTCAGTAATTTAATTCCCATAAAAGGAGTAAAAATAATTGAACAAGCCTTTCTGTATATGCCAGCATTTGATACTACGAAATAGAATTGAATTATAAGGAACAAGAGAATTATCACAAAGTGTAGAAGCAATAACATACTATGCCCTCGCTGACCATCGACCCAATACTTGGTTAGTGTAGCATCAAAATCTGCAATAACCTATCATTTTGAAGGAAAATGTATGCTCAATAGTACATACATGATCAAGATGAAAAATAAATGGAATTTTAATTTTACAATAACATAGACGTAATAATATTTAACAAATTACAGGAAACAGAATTCTACAATAGCCTTGATGCAAATATTGATAACATTTTGGAAGTCAAAATTAAAGATTATCAGTCCAAAGACAATAAGTACTTTTGCTCAAAAAAGTGCTTGTGATCATCTGTTTTCCCATCAGTTTGTTACTTTTCATTAAGTTTAAGAGTTTAGTTTGTCACTTGCAGCTATTCAATAACTTCACTTCACGCCCTTTGGAGTCCTCAGTCATCTAGATATGACCTAAAAATAATTAACAATTAGTTCCGTACTTTAGACCTTAATCCGATAGAAAAAATTGCAACGCCATCTTTAAACTATCCTCCCACTTTTGTCATCAATCTTTATTTCTTTCATTCTTTGGGGTTCTTAATGATAAATACCTTCCAAAAAATCTATTAACTTCACTTCACGCCCTTTGGAGTCCTCAGTCATCTAGATATGACCTAAAAATAATTAACAATTAGTTCCGTACTTTAGACCATAATCCGATAGAAAAAATTGCAACGCCATCTTTAAACTATCCTCCCACTTTTGTCATCAATCTTTATTTCTTTCATTCTTTGGGGTTCTTAATGATAAATACCTTCCAAAAAATCTATAAGTTGATAGTAAGAATATTAATTTGTAGCTCTGTCGACACTTCTAGTAAGTTAAAAGTAAATAGATAATAGAAAATTAAAATTAGAAAATGAGTCATCTTCTTCAAGCTGACCACTCACCCTAATAAGAGTTTTTTCTTAAACAAACTATAGAAATCAACAGATGAACGATTGGGATGGTCGTGCTTAGAATTTTGAATTAACATAACGTGTTGGGTTTAAGCATCGTTAAAAAAGGCCTGAGGCGGGGGCAAAAGTATTTTCCAATGAACCATGTTCCTTGAGATTTTCTTTTGTAACAACTTGCTTCCAAATTCCATAAAACATTTCTTTCATTCTTTTAGAAAGAAAAAGTTTTAAAAACTATTTTTCAAGAGAAATGTTTAATCCGACAAAATGCTGAAACAGGGTAACATAAAATGTAACATTAATTGCTAAGTAAATGAATCACAATTAAACATTACAGCAACATTCCAACTAAACTCTGTATAGATTTTTTTCCAGAAAAGGTTGCCCTTTTTATCAAATTGTTTCGGGGAGTTTATAAAACAAGGCAAATACATAAAAATTACCCCCCAATTACTCAGAAATGGAATCAACATTTAATCGCTGAAATTGATCAATTTGAACAATTAGGCCATGCTATAAAGAATCACAATTTCTATAAAAGTAATAGTACTGAGAGAACCTGAAGCTTCGCAGGACCGTCGAGTCGAATATATGATATTTTCTTTTGCAGTAATTCAGTGTCCCCCACCATTACTTCTGCGCCATCGGCCACAACTTGTTCCATATTTTCAGGTCGATTTATGTTCTTACGATCACCGCTGCACCAAACCCTACAGGTATTTCTGTTATGCAGTATCTGTGTTTAATCTTAAGAGTCGGTCGTCGAATAACAATCATAAAGATTTGTCAGCATGCAAATGTAGGCATGTTATGCGTATAATTTATGCATAAACTGACCTGAATTTGAAGTGAGAGAAAATAAAGCGAGGCAGAGGCTTGAAAATGCCAGTCCAGATGGGAAGGAAGGCATAACTCATGAGAGCGAGGACAGAAAGGACACTATTTGCCACGGCATGGGCAATGTTGGGATGTCTGGGTCGGTTCCGGATTCGGATCCGACCTGCCCAAACCCAATTTAAAAATTTCCCGGGCCTGATCAGAATTTTTAAGATCCAATTTAAATTCCATCCCATTTGGACAGTGCAGACACTCCTATGTACATAAATTATGTACACCAAAATTTATCCTTTAAAAAAGTAAATTTAAAATTTGTTTATACAAAAATTAAATATTAATTCAAAGCTTTAATACTAATAATATTCAATATCATCTATCTTCTCTCTTTAAATCATAATCACCTAAATCCTAAAAATCTCAAAATCACAACCCACACCTTCCTTCTCTCTCCGGCGGATTCAACAACAAAGGTAGAAGAAAGGTGGCTCCGATGATAACACGCGCAGCATAACCTGGCACAACGATGCGTCGCAGCGACAAAATCACTACTGGTTCATCATGTGCAGAAACAACGGAGTTCCGTCGTTGTCACTGCTGCAACATCCACTCGTTCTCTCTTTATCACATGGAAGACCACCATGCAGATCCACTCTTCTTCTTCTTCTTCTTCTTCAATTTTTGAGTGGTGCGATGATTTACGGTTCGGTGGTAGTACTATGGTGCGATGGTGGTGTGCAATTACGGCAGTGGTGATCATGTGTTGGTTTTGTGATTGTGATGATTGTAGCGCTGTGTATAGTGGTTGGGTGCAATGATGGTGTGTTGCTATGTGCTTTGTGTGGTAGTGGTGTGGTTGATGTGATGGTGATGTTGGCGGTTTGATGCGGTAGTGATGGTGTGGTACTGTGATAGTGATGTGGTTGCTGTTACGCACCTCACTAACCCACCTCGGTGCGTCATACCAACATCCCAGCGAGGCACCACGTGTCCATTCGAAGTGGTTTCGAAGTGATATGAGTTCATTACGCCTCAGCCGAACCCCATGATTAAGGCGTAGTCATCATCCAAAATGATTGTCGAAGCGCACACCCCTTACCGAAGTGTAAGTAGATCTGAGGCACTACAGCAAAGGCCTCTTCGTCGCCAGTTTCAAAGATATATCTTTATATCAGGGATTGATTCATGTGACATCTCAACTTTATGTCAACTCATAACTCAGATGAATTAATAACTAGCCCCTTCTAGATGCGGCTGATTAACACCTACGAGCATACGTCTCGCACCGTCAAATGCATACACGTATCAACGGTGTCCATTGCCTATAAATACCAAAGGTTTTGTAAGAGAAAAGGTAATGTAACTCTTACTAAATAACTTGGCTATCCACACAAGTATAATCCTTTTCCTCCCCACCCTTGTACAATTCCGGCACCGTTTCGACCACCATCAACTAACTTGACCGTCGGAGTATATGCAGTCGTTGCCACCCTGTTGGTTCCGACCATGTATGTCTGACTATGTTATTGTGCATAGGGAGAAACACGTGAAGTAGCTATCGATTGGCCACGTGGGAGATCCAATTTGCGAGGTCAACTGTTGCTATGGTGGATTTCAAATGGTATGTGTTGGTATTGTGGTTGTTGTAGTTGTGACATTGGCGATCAGGTGTGGCAATGGTTGTGGGATGGAATGGGGAAAGAGTATTTGACCAATTATTTGATTGACTGTGACCACTTAGTTGATTGATTGTAACTAATAAATAATAAGTGACCTAAAAAATGTGATTGTGACTCTCTAGTTGTGATCGTTTGATCAAAAAATAACTTGTAATTAATTAATTTGATAATTTGTGCAGTCAAATAAGTTGTAACTTATTGATTTGTGACCAACCAATAAATTGCAACTTATAAAATTTTTGATTCGTGACCGTTAAATAATTTGTGAGCTATAAAAAATTTTATTTACGATCAAAAAATAATTCATAACCAATTAATTCAATAATTTGCGATCAAATTGTATAGAATTGTGACTTAAATATATTTAATTAATAAAGTACATTGTTAATTAATTATTTTATAAATAAAATTTAATAACATCTTATTTTTCTGAAGTTATAAAACTTGTTTCTTAGTTTTGAAATGGATTATAGTTAACCTCCTAAATATGAAATTTTCTCTTAAAATAATTCTATTAATTGTTACCCAATATTTGACAGTGTTTTATTTTCTGCAAATTACTGCAAATAGTATTCTCCAACATGAATTTGGTCTATTCATCCAACTCTATAGTTACTGGTGAAATTCTGCTCATGCTTCTTCATATTCCCATCTCTTCTATGGTTTTGTGCTATTTTTATTTAATTGGAATAGGGATACGGATCGAGGGAATTACAACCCTCTAATTTGTTTAGATCAAACCATCAAGGCATTCATGAAGGGGCCCAGCAAACGTTCCTCTTATGCACAAAGGGGTACTTTACTTCACATGCAATGTCTCATTAGGCTTAAAGGTTAGTGTCGCTGTTGATGAGAATTCTTCAAATCTTGCACCAAATTTTAAATAACATTTTAGACTTTTCTTTTTTTTTAATTTTATACAATTCATAGTGCATTAGTTTTGAAGTTTTAGTTTCAAGATTATATTAAGGCCTCGTTTGAGAGGGATTTTAAGAATTGATTTTTTGACCGTTAGAAGAAAAGTGGGGTCCACCTGTGAGAGAATAAGTCAAAAATTACGGCTGGAATAGTAAAATAACGATCAAAAAATTAATTTTTTGGGGTAAAAAATCCCTCTCAAACAGACTGAAGTTTATTGTTTTTGTGATAATGTAAAAGTAAAAATCATTGCTCGTTGTCAAACTCCTAGAGAAAATTTAATTGGATTACTAATTAATTTTTTAGGGTTTTTTTTTTTTTTTTTTTTTTTTTTTTTTGTAAATACTTATATCGCATCATATTATTTTTGCTTAACTATGAAAATGACTTATAAAAAGACATGCTTATGCATGTTTTGAGATATCAATAAATTAATCACCTCCAAATTAAGCCACTCAACAATTTTAACACGAAAAGTTTGTCTCCAATTGTTAGCTTAGCTTGAATTAGAAGACATTGACTTGAAATTGCGACATGCCCAGCTTATTTTGCAAAAGCTGGATTTTATTCATGCCATGCAATTTTTTTTTATTTTTTTTTGGCTAAATCTCCTTGGAGTAAATTCATTTAGACATTGTATTTAATTCAAAATTACTTATTCAGAAAAGTAATAGCTAGTTGTATGCCATATGTATAAATGGCAGTAAAAAGAGAATCTATAATAATTACACAATCAAACCATCCCGAAAGTAATCATCGAAAAATAAGAAAATATCTTACATATTGAATAATGTTCTTTAGTCCGACTAATGTTAGCAATATTCTAGCTATCAATTAATTGATTGAACATCTTAATAAATATAACTTTTATCCCTTCATTTAGGACGTTTAATGGCGCTTAATGGACAGTTAGATTGGTGCTTATCGACGGTCTAGAACAGAATAGGATTGCTCATACATACTAAAAACAAATAATGCATTTCAATTACATTTTACGAACAAGCAAAGTTAATATAATTCAAAAACCAATGAATCAATAACACATTTACACTTTGACTAAAATGAAAGGGGAAGAAAATCTATGAATCTAATGAAAAGCTAATGAAATCATTTTAAATATCAACCTGATGATTGAGTAGGTTATGAAATTACAAGAGGAGTTGGTAATGGTGAGTTTCTACAAATCGGACAAGTAGGATTTACCTTTAGCCAATGATCAATGCATAGGAGGTGAAAGAAGTGGCCACAATCAGGCATCAGCCTTAACAAATCTGTGTCTTTATAATCAGCCAAGCAAATGGAGCAAGCAGAAGCTGTGGATTCACATTTATGGGATTTGAGTTTTGAGTATAAGAATTGTGGGTAGGTAGAGATGGTGGTTTCATCGAGGCCGGATGGATGCCAAGAGTTGTCGTCTGTGGAAGTGGTGGAGCTTTGGTGGGTGGAAAAGTGGTGGTTGTTGAGGGCGGCGCCACCCTGTCCCCGTCCACGGGTGCACATATAGGAGGCATAGATGGTGATAACAAATATTGCGAGGATCCCAAGGGAGAGCCCGAGACCGTACCCAAAGCCACCTACGGCTTGGCCTGTTGCATTCTCAGGGCTTTCAATTGCTTCCAATGTAGTACTCATTTTCTTGATGTACAGGTCTAGAATTGGCACTGCTCGTTATCGAGGAAAAAAAGGTGATGCGATGCCAACAGACGAAACAATATTTTTCGGGGGTGTTTAAATGATGAAAGAGTTGACAAATTGGGAAGGTTTGAAGGGGTTGGGTATGGATTTCTTAACTGAAATTGCAGGAGAGCATTTTCTCTAGTTATTAATTTGCTACTTGGCTAGTCTGTACTATAACTCAGTTGTCAACTGTCTCTGGCTTTTTCTAAAGGCCAATTGTAGAAATGCCTTTTCTAAGGTTTGAAGATTGTAACATGAGATTTTTAAAAGAATAAATTTGCTTGTATAGAAACAGATCTGTCAGAATTTCACCAGATTTGTATCTGGTTGTTCCACCCCCCCCCCCC